ATCTTGTTTTTCTGTCTGACTACGGAACTGTGCACTCTAAATATCAGTTATTTATATATTTTCGAACAGAGACAAAAACAAGTTACTTTATGTATTGTCACCTTTTATATTTGTTTGTTTGAACTTCTCGCAAAGATACACGAGTGCTGTCTGCGCTAGCCGTCCCTAATTTAGCAGTGTAAGACTAGAGGGAAGGCAGCTAGTCATCACCACCCACCGCCTACTCTTGAGCTACTCTTTTATCGACGAATAGTGGGATTGACCGTCACATTATAACGCCCCCACGGCTGAAAGGGCGAGCATGTTTGGTGTGACGGGGATTCGAACCCGCGAACCTCAGATTGCGAGTCGAGCGCCCTAACCACCTGGCCGCCTTTTGTATTTCTAACTACTTGAATATAGTAATTTTGCAAGCTACACCTAGATGGAGCTAAATACTTTTACCCTTTTGAATAGGATCTAGATAAACAAAAAGAGCATTCTACAAGATGTACTTGTCATATGTTAAACTTAATATTGTATAGTATTATTTAGAAATATATATGTAGTACAAGGTATTGTTAAGCATGCTATACTGTTTTTAACTCAATAATATGTAATAGTCAATAGTGGGTAATGAGAATTTACGTTAATAATGATAAATCAACAAACAACGATTTATAAGCGTAAGCGTAATGATTATTATTTTTTAATTTTGTGGAACATATTACATGTTTCGACAGAACACCGGCCTGTCTTATTCATAACTTACATTGAATCATATCTGAATCTAATATTCTTACAATGATTATAAACATTCCAGAACTGTGAACATTCTGACTGATAACAGTTGGCAAACTGATGATGTGGGTTAGATGACCAAATCATACTTTACACTCATAATAAAATAATGATTTGTAACGCTGAAGACTTATTCCAGTTTTTTTAACTTTGATTTATAAAAAAAAAATTATCATGCACTAAATGAGGACATAAATTTTCTGAGAGATTAACAAAGAAAGATGGCAACCGAAAGTATTTTGAGGAAGAGTGTTTTGAAGAAATTCAGGGTACAAAGATAACTTACATTTATTTAATAAGAAAGTTCACTGACTAGAGGAGGGAATCCTGAATATTGGGTATATATTGTAATCTGCAATTCTGTCAGAAAATTGAATTTTGTAGAAAACAAATCCAAATCATAAAAGTTCTGATTCTAGTACTAATCCAATGAAGCCATTAATAAAAGATTTGTAACAATATATATACGACACATATACAGCTCATTAAGTATATAATTAATATATATATTAAGTATATATTATATATAATTAAGTATATAATATATAATTAATAGCTTAGCAAAGGTCTGAAAGATCTTGGTGCACACATTTTCCAAATGTCCACGTAAACCATTACAATATCGACTTTGAACTATACCATGTTGCCAAGATGAATAGATTTTAATGACTAAATTCTGAATTTGCAAAAAAAAAAAAAAAAAAACTTTGCAGAAATAGAATGTAAAGTGAAATTTGCATTAGATTCTTATTTTGTAGCAATTAGATTTTTTGTAGCATTTAGATTTCCTTAGTACAAGCAGGCAAGAATGTTTTGAATTTCGCGCAAAGCTACACGAGGGCTATCTGCACTAGCCATCTTTAATTTAGCAGTGTAAGACTAGAGGGAAGGCAGCTAGTCATCACCACCCACCGCCAATTCTTGGGCTACTCGTTTACCAACAAATAGTGGGATTGACCGTAATGTTATAACGCCCCCATGGCTGAATGGGCGAGCATGTTTGGTGGGATGGGGATTCGAACCCGTGACCCGCAGATTGCGAGTCGAGCGCCCTAACCACCTGGGCATCCCAGGTCCGAATATTTTCTCTACGACGATAGTGTTTAAATGTTGATAATAATCTGAGACGTGATGTATAAAATAATCAAAGTGATTTGGAGTGAAAAAGATTATTTTTAATCGGTAAGACTCGAAAAATTAAAAATAATTCTAAAGCATAATTCGTTTAAGTGATAAATAGGCAACACAAATAGGTATAGATCTACTTTATGATTTTAATTTTATTGATTGCCGGTAATAAACCTTATCGTGTAGCCAGTTGTTTCATACGTATTGACCTTGAGTGTAGTAGTTCAAGAGGATGACAGGCCACACGTGCAACAGAGGACACAGACCCCGCCCTGGGGCCGAACACTAGATTGGAGAGTTGCCGCCACATGTTGAGGCGGGAAGCCAGTTTTAATTACCTAAGTAGCGCAAGCACCAATACTGTATTGTATTGCCAAGAGTGTGTGTGTTTCGTAAGATGACTTCTTATAATCTAACATGGGATCAACCAACTAGTTTATACCCAAGTAACAAAAACCGAAAGAACGTAGTTGTTATATGTTTGTACAACTGTTTAGTTCAGGTACAAATCTGACTTCAAATATTAGTTTTTAAACGTTTTTATTTTTTCAAATATTATATATATTTTTTCTATTATAGATTATAATTATTTTCTGGCAAATCAAATTATTTGCATACACTTATTTAATAATTAATCATTATAAATAGTCACGGTTTACTTTACTCCATCTAAAAATAAAACGTTAGAAATAAAATGTGATTTTGTTGTTCATTTTTATACATTGTTTTCAACGAAAAATATATAAGAAATCGTTAATTCAAGCAAACTTATCTAATAAAGGGTTAGAAGTTATCTTCAAAAACAAAAGAACCAGGTGTGATATCACTGTTACTAATATCACCAGGTAAACATCAGTAATTATTTTCGATATATAAATGACAGACGAAAAAAAAAACGGATTATTTGAGTGTTTTTGTTTGTCGACGTTTCGTTTTGCTACTGTTGTCATATTTCTAGTGTAACGCTATTATTTTACTCTTTACATTTTTGCACGAGCTTTCTGTTGTTTAAATAGCACACTGTTAAAAATGAATAGGTCTATGCTTTCAATCAAAATTTACGTGTCACTCATGTGTGAAATAACCTGATACCCAGAAAACCACTGAGGGGTTATCATGTTTACTCAGTGGCTATACGTTTCTTCATCACCTGCCACTCGATAACTGAGCGGTAAGTGAGAGGGCTTATAACCCTAAAAATCAGATTTCGATACCCGCGGTGGGCACAGATCTAATAGCTAGGCCATTGAATAGCTTTATGCTTAATGACAAACAAAATAGTATTTCTGACGGCGAGAAACTTTGTAAACAAAAAATTTGTCTCCGAGTACTTGTTTCAGCAAGTCAAATTAAATTGAAGAATTCCTAGGGGTCGCTATTTTGGAAGTTTGTTTGTGATATTAGAGATGTTCGTTTACGGGATTTCATTTCCTGAAAAGGGAAGCCTGTTGATCTCATACTTAGGCCTACTTTAATTAAGTGGCTCCACACTCCAATTTTCATTCATCTAATCCAGCAGTAATGCTGTGTGAAGGTCATACATACATCTAGAGATACAACTTCAAATTTAAGAGTTACTTAACTAATCATTGGAATATGTGTAACAGACAGTTTTATTCTCCTTAGTTTTATTTAATATTTACTTTCGTATGCGTGTACACGACAAACATATGCCTGCAAAATTAAATTGAAAAACAGTCGTCGCCTGCTAAAGAATGAAAAAAGCAGCAACACCAACAACACACATATATATATGTTTATGTTTGTATTTAACGTTTGGCTGTACTATTATGGTATCATCAACACAACTTACACATAAACGTTTCGACTAGTCAGGTTGTATGTAATATCGGTAGTAAGTGATAAGAACAGATTAAAAGTAGTTTATTATGCAAGGATTGTCAGTACAATTATTTTAAATCTGTTTGTTGAAAACATGTGCTCTGAAGCAAACTATGTGTTTTGTTAACATTGTTTTAACAGCATTTATGAACAAAAAACGATCGAACATAAATACAGTATAATTTACCAGGTAAAAAACCCCACAAAACTAGTTTCTTTTATATATATATAAAATGTTATGGACTGCTAAGTGTGTAGTCGTTAAAAGCTTCTGTTGTCGACCTTTTTTCTTTACATGTATTTGTATGTATCACTTACTTAATCTAGTTCAAACCACAACAGTGGTTGTGCATGAAATTGGTAATGCAAATAGTGCCTCGATCACTAATATGTCTGTCGTATTCCAACCAACTTGAAGAGCTCTGGTATTGAGCGAAACGCCTCGTCGGCACAGGATATGGCGGATGTTGTGTGGTTGACATATTCTTTGCTTTAACCCACATTCTTGGTATATTTGTATGGCTGGTTAACACGGTTTACGTACACGTGACAGACAAGATAATGAAAGAAGAGTTGTACTGAAACTGGATTAATATAATGTGCTTAAATAGGATTTATGTTTCGAGTATAACAAGTTGCTGACAAATAAGGACCCCTTTTCTGCCTGCTTTCCTCACTGTTACATTTCTTACCATTTCTTCTTTAAGATATTTTATATACATAGAAGCTGCTTAACATAATAAAACTTAAAATCTCAAACAAATCTTACAATTAACAGATCTACGTGTGTATACGATTCATTAATGGTAAGATTATCAGCCTTCTGGCGCGTTGTCTAGTTACCGGAGTCAAATCAATCAAAATTCGTGGCAGGAATTTAGGTTTAATATCTTTCTTTCAAGCCTCAATGAATTTGGGGCTTGAGAGACAACCCGGGATACTCACAAACTTGTGTTTCTCTTCACCCCGTGCAATGAGAAAGTTAATGCCAAAGGATTTGAAGTGGAATAGCCTCAAAGCTTAATTTTGAAGAAGCAGTCAGGATGAGAAGTTTTTGAGTAGTGAAGAGACGTGGAAGATGCCATATCAAACCCGGAGAGAAAGCCGTGAAGAGAGACCGTTGATCGGTGGTTGGAGTCGAAGCACATGTAGCTGCAGCACGTGGTGATGACGTCAGCCGAAAATGATGATCGAGTTGAGTGGAGAAGTGTGACCAAACACACAAGTTCGTGTTTGTTTGGTTGTGAAAAGTTACGTAAAAGTTTTGAAATTTAAAATGGTATATAGGATAAAAAATAATCCTGAGTCAATTGGATTAACTAGTCTAACAGCCCTTTTCAGGGAGGAGGGGGGCTGGGATAGAATTATCCAATGCCCTGATTGATTTAGTTACAGGGGGAAACAAGAGTGCCAGTTTCTGGAGCCATTTCAATGGAACACAGATGTCCTTGAGTTGGTCTCATAAGAGGCTCCACCTACCGCTGTTTCCTTATCAACTGCTTTACCATTGTGTTAACTCATTGGCTGAATTAAGAAGACCTGGGAGGAGATAAAGCCTTAGCCAATCATTTGCACAGATCTACCGTAGATATACTAGATAAGCTAGCTCATTAAGGTGGGAAAAAGTGTGACCAACATTCCAGTGAAAGAAATGGTATGCTGTTCGGAAAAATAAGACTTAGATTTATGGGAGATAAAACCAAACCGTCATTCTAAAAAGTGCCATTATTACATACAAACCGATGGTCACAAGAAGTTTCCGTTTCTCTTAGTACAACTGGGAGAATTTCTTGACCAAGTCCTCTGACAGAATTGCATCTTGATAATGTCCAGACAGAAGTAACACTATGGTCCTTTATTACGATAATCACTACGCTATGTTTCCTGCACCGTCTCATCAGGCGACCTTTAACTCATATCCATGTTCTTCAAATCCAATTCAACAGGTTTCAATGGCACAGTGTGGGCCTGGTCAACAGGGTTATGATCTGGAATGTCCAATGTCTGAAGCCATGCTTCAACAGGGCTGGCATTCTCCGTTTTACCCAAATTCTAGCACTAACGGCAGCTCGTGTGCTCATATGACCACAAACCCAAACTATTATGAAGAATGGCCTCAGTCGCAAGGTTCGTTATCTAATTCTAGTCCTTGTTCCAATGTATGCATGCCAGTAAACTTATCTCCGACTGCCAGTCAACAGTGTAATTTCAGGCTTCCTACCTACAGACAACAAGATATTTTGTCTAACTCTCAAGGAACAGTAAGTTTGACAGAAGTGGTTTATTCCAGTGACAACGGAGTTACAGTATCGACGGACGAGTCCCTGTCCGCAAGCTCTGGAATCAGCGTTAATATAGTTCCGTCACCGGCTAGTCGCTACCAGTCTCGACTACAACCTGCACATAGTCCGTACGAGTGGATGAAGCGACCGTCCTGCCAACAATCAGACCAATTACACCCAGGTTTGTTATCCAAACATTTTGATATATTGTCATTTTTGATACCTTAACTGTTCTCATCTCTTTTCTATTTAACATTTTCGTTTGTCTTCAATACTTGTAAGTATTCTCAGTAATATTCAAATGTCACAATTTACAGTATAGTGTTTTTAGAAGACATAAAAGACGTTATAAAAAAATAAATATATTGTATTCTTTACACAATCATGCTTCCATGCGTGTCGTGATGAGTTTGTTATATACTGTATATAATATAGCTTTATATCGAGATATGAGCATTTAGTATTAATAGTTCTGTTTGTAATTAAGCACAAAACTACACCATGGGGTTATCTGCGCTTTGCCCACAACGTGTATCGAAACCCGGTTTCTAGCGTTGAAATTCCGCAGACATGCTGCTGTGCCACTGGGAAGTCTCATAATTCTCTGAAATATATATAGTATTGAATTAAAACCAAATATATAATCTATAAAATAATTGTGAATACTGTAGATACAACGCTCTAAAATAATTATGATTAAAAGAAACAAATAAATATCTTGTAAAAGGTTTAAAATAATGTAAAACCAGCCTCGAGTTTCTTCTACTAAGCCTAACACACAAGGAATTAGTTTAATGATTATCCCGAAAAAAATCTTGGTATTTGTCAAAAATAATTGCACATTTTTTAGATAATGTGTAAAGTTTGATATTTCAGGTTCGAAAAAAATGGCACTCAAACGTATTTGTTATCGCCAGCAATTCTGTTGTTTTTTGTGAGTTCTGATTTTATATATATATATATATTAATCGTTTACCCGTGTAGTTTCATGTAAGTTGTTTTAAAAATAACAAGATATTGATAAATTTGTGTTTGCACAATTATTATTTGGTATCAGGCCTAGAAGAAATAAAAACGGTAGTTCACTACTCAGCTCATTAGGCTTACGAATTACTTAATATCAGTTATTGATAAATGCAGCCAATCATGATGAAGAGACGATTTTGATTCAGTTTAACCCTGAGTAAAAAAAAAGAAAATTAATTAATGAAGCTATTTATTCTCCCTAGAATAGTTCACATTTAGCTTAGTATGATTTTATTTCCAAGAGATAACAAGGGGTCATTTGGCTCATTTAGGCTATCCGAGTTTCCAGATCTTACTATTAATACATTTAATGCAACATCCGATTATTTTAAAGAAATTAATTGTTGGTTTAGAAGTAGTGTGATTAACATTTTGTTATACAAAGAAGAATGTATTATTAGTTATTAGAGTTAGTACTAGTATGTGAAAACATTCGTTTCCATTTATGCGTAATGCTTGTTTGTTTGTAATTAAACACAAAGCTACACAATGGGCTATCTGTGCTCTGCCCACCATGGATATCGGATTCTAGTGTTATAAGTCCGCAGACATACCGCTCTGCCACTGGGGGCATGCGTAATGCAAAATTGATTATATCTCACTATAACAAAACGTTAAATTTAAAACAATAGGCATTAAAAAAAGCTGTTAAAATTAAACTTAATATATCAATAAAGTTTAGAATTAGTAGATCTAAGTAGAAGAGCTTTAAATAACTAGAATTTTAAAAAAGAAGTCATTAAGTGAAAAAATACTGTAAAGATATATATATATATACCTTTATAGCTCCCTCACATTACCAGTACTTCTTCTGTTGAGTGTATATGAATAAAAAATGGAAAAATTAATGTTATGTAACAAGTGTCATATGACCTTTATAAGTGTATGCAAAAACCCCTATCTTAAATTAGTTTAAATTCCAAACTTTCTGAGGAAGGCAACAAGGGGAGTCTTTAAATATTTGTTTAAAAACATCTATTTTTGTTTCTACAAAACCAGAAAAAGTACAGATCTTTTAAAGACCCCAAAACAATAAACTAAATAATTATGAAAATGAGAACTCATTGGAATCGGAAATAAACCAGGTATTATAAGCTGCTTTGCTTTTTTAGACAGGTTTCCTGTAGTTTCTCAGTTTCTTTACTTTGTTGCACATAGCCTTATTGACAACTAAAACACTAATTCTATTCAATTATCTCTGCTTGGCATGGCCAGGTAGTTAAGGCGTTTGACTTGCAATCCGAGGGTCGCGTGTTCGAAGCCCTGTCATCGAACATGCCCTTTTAGCCGTGGGAGCGTTATAAGTAACGGCCAATCCCACCATTCGTTGGTGAAAGAGTAGCCCAAGAGTTGGTTGTAGGTGATGATGACTAGCTGCCTTCCCTCCAGTCTTACGCTGCTGAATTAGAGATGGTTAGCACAGATAGCCCTCCTGTAGCTTTGAGCGAAATTCAAACCAAACCAATGCACAGATTTACTCCAGTAATTAAAATGTATTTTAAAATTTTCTTCTGTTGCGTTCTCGAAATAATTTATTACAATTAGCAGAAGTATCTGGTTAGTCTGATTTTGAATATAAGTAATATAATGGGTTAACCATAGTGTGAAGAACTAAAAGGATTTTGAAATGTTCATAACAACTTCTTTCACAAATCTAATAGGATAATGATTATTCAACAGAAATATTTTATTTCTAATAAATGATGATCTATTCTTTTAACACTTGAGACTAGAAAACAAAACCTTCCAAATAAAGAATTGGAATATATAATTGAATATATTTTGAGTGATTACCAAAACTCGTAACATAACGATGAGATTTAGCGATTTTATGTTATTTTTCTTAAGCAAAATCAAAACATCTGAAAATACTTTTTGTTTTATCAGGTTCATGAGTAAAATTTGCAATTCGAATAAGTTTTAAGAATTTCGTGCAAAGCTACTCAAAGCCCGTCTACGTATAACCATCTCTAACGTTAACTTACAGACCAGAGAGTAGACATCACCAGGCACCAATTTTTGACTGATCGAATAGTGGGATTTGGCCTTACTCATCTAGAGTAAGTTTCGGAGCGCGATTTTAGTTTTTGCGGTAACGGATCCCCAGATTTGCGTTCCGGGCATACTAGCCATAGAGCACGTCTGGCCCACATTTCGAACAAATATTATTCAAGGTGTTATAAAATTCACTAATACCAGACATTGAACTTTTTTCAAGAAGTTTATTAATGAAGCCTATATTATATTTTATACTTTTATCCATCTACCAGATTATTTCAACAACATATTCAACAATGACTAAGAATCTCAACAGATTTGTTACACTCACCGATTATGAGCTGGTCTGAAATTTTGCCAGAATTCTGTAACCGTAATGTTTACAAGTCTTGTACGGTTTCAAAAATAAATCTTATCTCAGTATATTTATGCAGTTTTGGTAATACATAAAAATGTTAAACTACTTTTGGATATAATAAATTTTCTTAATATTTTGGATCTCAAAAGTTTGCTGAATATTAAAATTTCTTTCACTGGTGTTACCGCTGAATAAACGTTGAAAACCCACACTGTGGTAATGGGGATGATCTGTATCCCGTTTATGGAAAACAATTTTCTTTTATTTTGCGAGTTTTAAAACTTATCCGGTCCCATGACCCAGAAATCTGCAAAATTAAAAACAGACACTATAAAGGTCGAATTACGAACCTTCAGTCCTATAAAGGACTTTTTTAAAAGTTCATATTCAAAAATCCGTTTTTTATTTTTATATATATTTAACCTGTGTAATAACGGCTAAAATAAAAATTTGTTTTTGCAGTTACAGTCTTTAGGCGTGTTGTTGTTTTTACTACCCACATGAATTATGCTTCCTTTGTTTATTATACATATATACTGTATAAAATGAACATTAATATTTGCATAACATATTTAAACTGATACACATTCTTGTATAAATCGTACTAAAGAAACATGCCTCACCAATGAACTTGGAGACTTATCAAATAAAGTAAAATAAGGTTCGTAATTGTTCTTAAATTCCTGACCCCAGTGGCTAAGCAGTAAGGTTGAGGGATTATAACGCTAAATTTCAATGTTCGAGCCCTGCGCTGAGCACAGCACAGATAGTTAATCATGCAGTTTTGCGCTTAACAAGAACAAACCTTGAAATATTGTAAAGTCATAGAAAATTAGCACTATTGAATATCATGGAAAACGGATCTTTTTTAAGTCATGGTCCTGGATAAAAATACTAAAATTTCAGATAAGAATTAAACTAAAAAGGTAAAAACACTTATAAATTTTGGTATTGGACTTATTTATATTTCATGTCGGCCATTGTGAATCTCAAGCCTCGCGAGATCCAAGTTTGTTGCAAATTCCGTTGTTGGACACGTTTGAGAAACGAAAATATCAATTTAATTCTTTGTGAAAGGAATCTAAGTCCTGCAAGATTGATTATTGGTCCTGTTACAATTAACATTTTGAAGTTTGCGAAGCCTGTGGACAAAATGAGGTGTGAAGTTCCATTGTTTTTACTGCTGAGTTTATTTTTTATATATTATAGTTAATATAATTTTGAAGAGCAAAGTTATGGATGTTTTTCTCCATAATGGATATTCAGAACTTTCGAAACTCGGGCTCATACAAACTGAGGAAGGATGTCACACAAAACATGAACATGAGAGTTCGGCCAGTTAGTTGTGATACATTAATTTTAAAACTTCAGTGTTCTTTTTTAATTTACAAAGTGTTAATTGAAATATTTGCTGAAATAAGATGATTCAAAATCATATGAGGGCAGAGACGCCAAAAACTGTTTATTTAGAAAGGGCTATATTTGCTTTGCCCACTACGGGTATCGAATACAATACAATACAGTCCAATACAAGAGTATATTAAGCAATGCAGCTAGACATACATTTTTTATTCCATTTTTTGACAGTAGCAGATAGTGGTTTTAATTATAAATTAGTTAATGAGAAGTAGAGGTCAGCTTATGCTTGTTCAAGTCATAGAAATGATAATAACGAAAAGTGTCGTTTTCCAATTTATTAAGAAACGCACAAAGCACCGTGCGTTCTTCCCTTATACTAGATAGTGGTTTTAATTATAAATTAGTTAATGAGAAGTAGAGGTCAGCTTATGCTTGTTCAACTCATAGAAATGATAATAACGAAAAGTGTCGTTTTCCAATTTATTAAGAAACGCACAAAGCACCGTGCGTTCTTCCCTTATACTAGTACGGGACAAAAGGATATCAAAAGACACTACCAGCCACACATTGAAGATAACAGGAGCCGCTAGAGATATACTGATACTTCTGGCCTCGGGGATGGCATTACTAGTAGTCAGTAGACAATTCCCGGTGACCTCCAGTCTCAGTCCACCTGTGACAAATCAGCTCTCAGGGAAAACGCGTTATCGAACTCAGGCAGTGTCCAACTGGGCGGTACCTTTTGACAGTTACGGCAGGCAGTTAGTATTAATACAAGTTCACCCATAGCAACAATGAAGATGGTATTCTGTTGTTTTTTCTCTCTCTCTTTTCCTCGAAACATGGATATGTCATTAGTGAGAGATCACACTGTTAGGTCTCAATTGTGTATAGTGAGCAACAGTTGAAATTTATAATGAATTGTTTCTTCATAACTCCAAATGTCGCCATTTTTACTATTTTAATAGAGTAATATTTCATATTAAATATGCGTGTATTTCAAACAAACATATAGCATTATTAATACTTAAAGGTTCACGATAACAGTTTGGTACATTTTACGACGAAATCATAGCAGATTCGTGATATTAGTATTTACACACTATGACTAAACTTCCAATTTAAATTCATTCATAAGTTTAGCAAATGAAAAGTTACATATAATCGAATGATTATATTACATGAAAATAATATGAATTACATCATTGAATTATTATTGCTTGTATGTGTAAGTTTGATTATAATTAGTTTACATATAATATAAAAAAGGTTATGAGTTAAACGTCGAAAGTTAGTGATTATAATTGGTTTACATATAATATAAAAAAGGTTATGAGTTAAACGTCGAAAGCTAGCTTTCGACGTTTAACTCATAACCTTTTTTATATTAATGTAAACCAATTATAATCACTAAGTAGTTTTGGAAACCAGTAGGCCTAATATGATAAAAATCACGTAAACCGTATAATTTTTTTTTCAAATTCCTCCTAATTTATTTACTTTGGATTTGAAACCAAAGGTGCGTAGAAATAACATTTTAGATCTATCTATACATACATCTTTTGTCTCCCACAAATCACTGCCCAAAAAGCTGGGCGATGAGAAACAGGTTTTTCTAAAACGCTATTCACATATATATATGGTATGAAACTTTGAATGTCCAAGGCTGGAGAAACTGGAACCCAATAGTCCTAACATTTGTCTTTCATCCTCCAGCCCAGCTTTTCTGAATCCGAAATGGGTAAATTCAGAGAACTATGAGAGGAAAACAATCAGCAGTGAGTGACATACACTAAATGTCGCACTATCTATTACTTTACTGTAAATACAAAAAATATATGTGTCAAAATTACAGGTTGAACTAGCATTTGCATTAGCAAATATATCAATGTTCTTCCTGTTTTTAATATTTCCTCTATGGCTAAAAATGAACTACTTGTGTGTCAAATTAAACGTTTAATTAAAAAAAAAACATCTTAGGACGAGTTAGAGACTGGACCAGCTAGTATTTTTACCAATAGAATCCAGTTTCCGACAAAACCCACCTATTCCACAGACCTGTAATGTTAATTAAGTTGTTTCTCTGTTCTGAGCCATCGTTGTGACTGTTTGTGTGTTTAACGAGCTGTTTGTTTCGAGGATGTTTTATGGCCAATCGTATTACCTTCGTGAACAATAAGCGATTCGGATTTCATTCTACTGAGTGAGAAACGAATAGACCTGAATTTTCACGCTGCGGGAGCTTGTGCAATGTATTTATTATATGTTTGTCGAAATTTAGAACCGTCGACAAGACAGTATACTTATAATGTTATATATGTAGTTCCGCACTTAATCCATTGAGGCAGTGCTAAAGTTCACAATTATAACACGGATAATGTAATACCTATAATATTTTAACACACACAAATGTTACTTGTATATTTTCTGTCATTTAAAGAATTGCAAGAGAAGTTTAATTAGGACTTATCTAAGCATCGTAAGATTAAAAAATTGTTGGGAAATAATTAACAGCTGTCACATTAATAATACTTTTGTGTTCTATTGTTGATTATACTCGGCTTTACTGATGACATTTGAAATCACAATTGCATTAGCTTTTTCAATAATTTTCTTTCCATTAAGACATTTAATTTCCAGATGTTAATGTTATTTGCATTTTTTTTACGAAATGAGCTGTTGTATTCCTTCTGTGCTTTATTTGCACGTCGATTATTTAGACCCCCTCAGTAGACTATTTTTTCAAAACATCGAATAGAATCGTCAATAAAGATATTCTTTGTACTTACGTTAGAAAGTTAAAAAGTATAATTACACTTACAAATAACATACTATTAATACGAATTCTATCTTCTGGGTCACCATCAAAATACATTGAAGCCGTGCTGTCAAATAGAGCAATTTTTCATACAATATTTTCTGCGGTTTTACTGCAGTGTATGTATGTATTGTGTGTGCCGTTTCAGTGTCATGGGGAGATATGCCATTTTATATCAAAGAAAACAATAGCGTTTTACATTTCCAATAAAATAATAACAGTTTAATTTTCCTTGAATAATTGAAAAAGAGAGCAGGTTAAAAACCAAATGTGGACAAATTAGTTCAATTCTGCACTTGAAAGGTATAGCGATATTTAATAATTTTTATTTAACCTTAATCACGATTTATGACAAATTTACGACCATTTATTTTATATCTTTTAAAAGTTAAATGCACTTAAAGGAATAAGTGTACCATTCGGGTAGAGGCACAGATGTACTATTCCAACAACACCACAATACACGTACAAAGCTTTGTTGTGAACAATTTAATTTAAAGTGCTCTGCCTCCGATCTATGGCCTCATTTGTTCTTCACGTGTTTGTATATTATTACGGAATTAAAGTGTCTTGGTATCATATATGAGCTAGACGGAATGTTTATCTTTTAAGTGGAATTAGAAACTTTATGGAACCACAAGCGAATAATTTCCTCAATTCATAATGCTTCAAGAGCACTAGTTAACCCGACAGTAATCAAAAGACATTAAACCAAAGCTTTCAATTTAAACTTTCCTATGTAACATTGCTAAGTTATATAAAAGTACTGTAAGTTTATGGCGTGCATCTACACTACAAGAAATAATCATAAGCTTAATTCCCCCCCCCCAGTGGCACAGCGGTATGTCTGCGGACTTACCCGTGGTGGGCAGAGCCCAGATAGCCCATTGTGTAGCTTTGTGCTTAACTTCAAACAATAAGCTTAACTCGACAGGCTGTTTTTATGAAGCTGATTAAACGTCCCCTCAAGCAAAAGTTGGACAACTTGTCAAGTTGCTTAGATTCTCAAAGTGCCTTAGTTATATGTTGTCGCACTCTTACACGCCGTAATTCCTGGGGAGCGTGATGTTTGGTGTTTTATCCACAATCATCTTTAAGCGGGTAGCTTGCCGGTGTATTTACGTACCTAAAGATCAATGTCACTTTGTAAAACCACACATCAATAGTTGAACATCTTAACTTGTAAGCTGCGCCATTCTCCCTTGAATATCTCTATTGTTTTTATAAGCTGGATAATTAAAAATGTTAAACAATCTTTGTAGTGAACTAAGTTGAACTGATATTAAGTAAAATATTATATTACGTTTGTAATTTAATTGCTTTACCATTGCGATATCTCTATCTATCTTAAGAAAATAAAACAGCAAAATATACTTGTAGGCTGCGATGATAAGTGTTTATTTTAATATCCTTCACTGAAATACACATTTCTTAAATAATTGTTACATTCAATAAATCTTGTTCTGACTTAACATATTTCTTACTTTTATATTGCAGTAAAAACCAGGACTAAAGAGAAATACCGTGTAGTCTACACCGACCACCAAAGACTGGAATTAGAGAAAGAATTCTATTACAGTCGTTACATCACCATTCGGCGAAAAAGTGAACTAGCTGCTATGTTAGGCCTATCAGAGCGACAAGTGAAAATATGGTTTCAAAACCGTAGGGCCAAAGAAAGAAAACAAGCAAGGAAGCGGGAAGATATCTTACAGAAAGAAAAGGAACATAGTATTAACTCTGCTCCAGATTGTGTTATAAACAAATCCATGTCTGCTGTGATAAATATGAACTCGGGTCACTGTATTTAAGAATTTATTCAAACAATTTCTAACAACGAGACTCTTTGGAGTGTCTGTAATTATATTCGACTTGATTGCCATTTCGAATTTTACTCTTTTCTGTTCTATTAAAGTTGAAGAGATGCTTGTGTTACGAACAGCGAACATGATCCAACCACTATGAAGCGAAAAATCATAAAAGCATCACTCTAGCAAGTGCTTTTCTATTTTAACAAAAATAGAAATATATTTTGTAGAAATGGAGTGTCTATAGACTGTCCAGTAGCAATCTGTTGTAATTCGACTTGAATTTATTATGTGACTTAGCATCACACGGGGAGAACTGTTTGGTCTGCATACTGTTACGGATTGCTAAAGAGACAAAAATTGATGTACATATTGGGGTGCAATTTTGATGACCTAAATAAATATTTTGTTTTGTAATTTTGGTTTTTTCGCTTAAACACTGATATTATTTTAGGTTTTTGAACGTTTAAAGGTAGTAGTTATTTAGCAAAATCTATTTTTCAGGATGGTCGTACATTTTCACTAAAAGTAAGGCGGCCTAGCTTATTCATGATTTATGTTTAACTATAAACTAATAATCAACGGTTTATCTCTTTTTACAAGCATGTCTCAAATCAGATCAGAGCAAACTATGATTCAATGTCTAGAGCTAAGCATTTTAGTCGTATGCAAATACTTCACAAGGCATGTCAAGTAATACCAGATGTAAAGCTTGATTTTATGTTAGATTGCATCTCAATTCTACGTGACAGACAGCTGTTGGTTGAACTTAAGTATTATTGTTAGTAAACAAATTTGTTTTGATTGTTAAGCACAAAACTACAAAATGGGCTATCAGTACTGTGCCCACCTCGAGTACTGAAAACCGAATTTTGGCTTTATAAGCCCTCAGACCTATCGCTGAGCCACCAGGGCGGCTGGTTTGTTTGTAATTAAGCACAAAGCTACGCAACTGGCTATCTGTGCTCTGCCCACCATGGGTATCGAAACCAGAATTCTATCGTTGTAAGTCCGCAAGCATACCGCTGTGCCACTGGGGGGGGGGGGGCAGGGCGGTTAGTAAATAAGATCAATGCATATATCACTAACACCCGAGTGCCTCAGGAATTAAATCTGAAAACAATTTATTTTACGGAACCTTACGGTGCGCTTGGAAACACATAGTAATCTTAATTTGTGTAAAATTATTTCAAAGTAATTTATGTAAAATATGTATTTTTTATACTTAGTCTGTTACGTCCTTTTTATGAAAGGCCAATGTAAAGGATATTTTGGATCATCATACTTCTGAATCATCGGGTGATTGTATGTTGAATGGACTTATTAACCAAGTTCAATGGACAGTTATCTATTTCTGTTGCAAACACCAACCTGTTTTGCATTTTTGAATTCCTCATAAAAGAAAATTTTTCATTAAGTTTGAAGGCTTTCTTGAATAGCTGTGAAGGTCGTTGAAACAAATTTGTTAAAATGTGCGTAATGACCAGAAAGAAAAGGTATATTTGAGATATAAGATGTATTCATCAGTTTCTTTGTGAACCAAGGTGTGAAGTAGGGCTAATTTAGTCTCTGGTATTTTGTTATAAATTTAATATTTCTGTTTTCAAGCAGTTCAGAAACTTGTTAACATATAAGAACATTCAACGAATACATGAATATAAAACTAGGCTTTATATCGTACTGTAAAATATGTACTTTAGAAAACTATTGGTTCGGTACCAAAATAACTAGTACTTTCGATACCATTTAAAAATCTGATATTTATTGCTTTATAAGTAATAAATGATCCTATTTTAATGTAACTTTACGGTAAATTGCACGAGAGTCAGCCTGGTAGTTTTCTGAACATTTACATTAGAGTTTTGCTATTATTGCAAACAATGTCACATTATTTGAGCCATAACGGGGTATACTTATAAATATACTAAGAACATTGATTTAATTTTGGTCCCTAAATGTACAGAAAAAATAAACAAAAGCTAAGTACTACACATTTGCAGAAAGGGTGGATGTATAGCATCCCATAATCACGTGACACGTTTAAAACACCAATCATTCTTTAGGACTATGTACACGATTAGCGTATGCCAGAGATTTTGGAATAATTTGGTCAGCAAAAGAAAGGCTGTTGGAAAGAAAATGATCGGTTACTTTCGATATTGTCAGTTTATTTTAACCTTCTTATGTTCTCATGTTATTATACTTGCACACTGATACCATACTGTAAATCAACTGTGCAATATATATCAAAGTTTTTGGATGTTAAAACATTTAATTTATCCAAACCGGAAAGCGTATGAGGTTAAATCGTCCCGTTGGGAAGAAAGTATTTTTAACTTATTCACGTAATAAAATAAGGATCCAATTTAAAGTCGTACATCAGTGTTTTAAGTCATAATTATGAATTAAGAACTTATTATTAACTACATGTCTTAGTAGTTAGCCCAACACTGATATCACGATATATTTATTTGTTTAATATGATTCTCTGAAACTATTTTACCTTCTAGCAAGTTATCATATTCAGTTGAACGAACACGGGTATTTGCAATACAATATTTATATTTTTAAATATTAGTTAAAACTTTCATAGACCTAACACAAAGGAATGGTTTTATAACGGCTATATTTTCCCGTGAGATGGTTGGTTGCTCAGGCTGATAACAGAGCTAAAATGGTTTATGACTCTTATTATCTAGAGGCTTAGATGTATTGAAAATTTCCACCCATTTTGTCTTGGGCTATTTGTTATTCTATCAGTTGTAATTCAGACGCTGATCAGTTTGTCATGCTCTAGTTCTCGGTTTTTTTCTACATTTTTTCTCTGCTGATTCTATTGCTACGCCTTAAGTTAATAGCTTCGTAAACTCCCACCAATTCAGTTTCTCGCGTAAGTAGGAACCGAAACGAATTTGAAATGTCGGCTGTTTCAAGCTAGTAGATCTGAGAAGGGTCAGAGCGACGTGGTTTCGGAAGTTTGTCACCAACAAAATAACAAAAATAAAATAGTGCGGTTTAAGACAAGTACGAAAACTCTAATTCCTGAATATTAGACTGCTCGTTATCCTCCTGACATGTTGAAGTATATAGGTCATGACAAAGTTCAAACGTATGACATTAGAAATCACCATTTTGTTTGAACCTGTACCCAACATCTCGGTAGGAATTTAATTGAATAGAAAATATTTCTAAGATATCTAGATTAATCAGCAGTGTACATTTGTATGTTGTATTTTATTGTCTTGTAAATGTAATCACATTGTACATGTACAAAACTCTCAGTGATTTATTTTCAAAAATTTATCTGAAAGTGGCTCCCTCCTTCGTTAAGTTTGAAATACTTGATCTCAGATAGGATAAAATGTACAAAGAAAAGAAATAGAAATAAACAAAACTGATTTTATTTACGAGTCTTAACTCTTTATTATGGTTTTTTTTTGCCAATCCTCAAAATAATTTGCTAATGAAGACAATGACTGTTGAGAGGATGAAAAGTGTTTTATTTACATGAGTTGTACGTTTCTAAATACACTCATTCCACGATCATTTGCAAAGTCTGAAAACATAGTGCATTGGTATATGTCAGTACAAATTAAGTAAACACTTAATGATATTTGAGAACGTGAAGTTTATAAAACATTTAAGAGGAACAAGTGCTAAAATAAACACAAACCATGGCGTAACTTAAATACAATAACAACATTAATATTAGTCTGAATTTACAATGACGCAAATTAAAGTATTAGTGATGTTCTATTAAGTGTTAACATTTTCAAAATAAGCTTTCACTGGTATTTTTCATGTTAAAAGACGTGCTGGTGAAAATGAAAAGCACTGGAAAATATACGCATTTATTCACAGGTGTATATTATAATTAATTTATAATACATGTGTGCAACTGTAATACTTTCCTAGTAAGTTATATACATGTGTATTTAACGACAAAAAATTGAAATCTTTGTAAGAAAACCTGGTTTTATTTTCTGTAAAAGTTGAATTTGCTGTATATTTGAACAAACATAATCGCACAGAATGACATGTGATTATTGTGTAATGACTGTATCAGGAAATAAATAAATTCATGGACCTGAATGTGTAAAAAAATGTGTTTGAGACTAAGTATTTCACAAAGCAATATCGGTTAGGAATCTTGGCAATGCTTAATATACCATCTAAAGTCCAGAACAAAGTTCGCTTGGCTTTTTCAACCAAGTATTAGATATCGTAGTGCATGAATGTTAAATAAGAAAACAAAAAAATATATAGATACTCGTAGTAAATGGTGGTGTTTGTTATTAAACACAAAGGATTGTCTTTGCTCTGCCCACCACGGGTATCGAAACCCGGTTTTTAGCAGTATACTCGAAGTAAATGGTGGTGTTTGTTATTAAACACAAAGGATTGTCTTTGCTCTGCCCACCACGGGTATCGAAACCCGGTTTTTAGCAGTATAAGTCCGCAGACATACAGCTGTGCCACTGTGCTCACGTAAGTGAGAAGCAACTTGTCTAGTGAGCTTAACATATAAAATTATTATTACTACAGAGAAATGCTGTGTTAATAGTACCTTTAATATAAAAATGCGAATTCGATCTCAATAAAATTGGTTTTGATTCGGACAAAATAAAAAAAAGTGTGGTACTATTAATTTAGGGTGAAGGACTTGTATTTTGTTTTTTTTTGTTCTTTGTCTTAGATTAACAACGTTAAATACAACAATGTTTTGGTATTCAATTTCTGATATATTTTTAATTAATTTTTAATATGCTGTTCATTTACAGATAGCTTGTGTCTTACTATTCTTTTTATTTGTCATTCAAAGGTTTTAATAAATACTTTCTTCCTGTTATATACTGTAACTAACTGTTCTCATTTTGATCTAGATTACTTCAATTAGGTAGGTATAAATAACTTCTTTAGCACCGTGACAGATTCTAAGTTAGCGCTGCCCTAATTTATGGATACATTTTTTTTATCATAAATGAATTTTAATTAACAGGAACGCTTCTATTCCAGTAAATCATATAATAACAACTTTGATTCTGCAGAGGTTAAAGGTGGGACCATCTTGGATTAAGTAATTGCTTGTGAAGGTAAGCAATACGAACTTTTCCTTTTAATTTTCATTTATTGTAGACAGCTTAAATCTGTATTTTTGTTTTAATAGAAGGACATATAGCAAGGAAAAAAAGAGACATAGGTCAAAGTTGGAAGACCCATGATGAGCTAGCGGGTCTCAGACTTTAGTGTTAAATGTTCTCTTGCACTCTTCCAATTGCTCCACATATTCACCTTCTAGCCTCCAGCTGAGTAACGTCGATCTGCAGCCCACACATAACTCCGCTAGTTACTGGTAATGTCGACCAGCCTCGACGCTTTGATATATAGGAGATAGTGTCAATATGAAACAAGCCAAGGTGTGCTGAAACTTTCTGGGGAGAATTCTTTATGGCTTCCACGTTCTCACTCAGCCTTCAGTGCATATGATTTCCATCACTACTTAATATTTATTATTTGCTACGTCTTAATAGTTAGCTCGACGTTGATTTGATATCACGAAATATATATTTGTTTAATATGATCCTGAAACTATTTTACGTTATCATATTCAGTCGAACGAACACGGGTATTTGCAATACAAATATTTTTATTTTTAAATATTAGTTAAACACCTTTCATATAGACCTAACTAAAATGAATGATTTTATAACGGCTATATTTTCCCGTGAGATGGTTGGTTGTTCAGACTGATAACAGAGCTAAAATGGTTTATGACTCTTATTATCTAGAGGCTTAGATGTATTGAAAATTTCCACCCATTTTGTCTTGGGCTATTTGTTATTCTATCAGTTGTAATTCAGACGCTGATCAGTTTGTCATGCTCTAGTTATCAGTCTTTTTCTACATTTTTTTCCCTGCTGATTCTATTGCTATGCCTTAAGTTAATAGCTTCGTAAACTCCTACCAAATCATTTTCCCGCGTAAGTAGGAACCGAAACGAATTTGAAATGTCTGCTGTTTCAAGCTAATAAATCTTGTCACCCACAAAATAACAAAAATGAAATAGTGCGATCTAAAACGGCAAATTTTACTAATTCATATCTTTACTTTGTATATGTCGATAAAATATAGAACAAGTATGAAAACTAATTCCTGAATATTAGACTGCTTGTTATCGTGACATGTGCTAGAATAAACACACAAATCATGGAATAGATTAAATGACTATCCATCCTAACTCTCACTTCGATTGGTTCAGTCAGATTACTCTGGCCAAGGTGGCTGCCTCTAGCAATTCGCTCTGAATGCTGGCTAAATAACGCTGGAAACAGTGGACTGTATGAGTGTACTTAGAATATGGTATCAGAATTCCTTTGAATGCATAAGTAATGTTTCATGGAAAACCATAGGAGCAGTATTATGCACTACCACATGCAGATGTAATAGTAGATGCTCTACATAAAACTCGCTGTTTTCTGTCTAAACATCAAGCCATACTTTCTGAGAGTGTAATATATTGGAAACCAAAAGTATTTTCTGTAATGGTGTGTAATTATGAACAGGTGACTGTGAAGTTACTAGCTGGAACAAGCTAGCATTACTTTGGCCACACTGTTGTTGCATGTGAATTCACTTCCTAAAGATCATCTGAGGGTCTCGGTAAGATACTGGGTGGGTATACCAGAAACTGGTATGAATGTCTCACAAAACAACCACTACGCAGGCTTCACTGGAGTACTAGGGATATAATATAGCCTGTGTTTAAGTAGATGGAGTGCTGAACTACAAAAGTTTATAATAATCAGAGAATGCTTGGTCATTTCCAGTAGCATTGTTAAGAAGAAATAAAGGACACCGCCAAAATTCTGTTTTGATTGTTGATGAGTTAATTTGTTAAGATGTATCATACATAAAAATGTTTCATCACTCTTACACAACAAATATCTAGACATTTTAGAGAGCCTCTGCTCGCTTAGCAGTTGAAAGTTTAAGCCTGTCTAATGGCAAGTAGAACTTGATGAAAACAGATGTAAGACTGCTTTCTGTACCCAAAGACTATGTTTTTGCTTTTAGCCAATTGGTCTGTGTAGTATGGCAACTTCTTCCAAGAAGGAGATGTACTCCACATTGCGTGGTTTATATATTCTAAAATGTGTCTATATATGGATGACATACCTTTGATTGATACACAGTGTAGATTGCATTTGAGAACTTAAGAACTGTACTTCACAGTGTAAGGAAAGCAGGGTAGAAAAAAGCTTAGATGGTACAGATTGCTTGTGTTTAATTAGACAGGGCGTACCTAGCTAGCTGTAAACGATTCTAATCCCTCCACGTTCTTGTGCAGTCACTCTGGTTATTACTGGTGCAGATACGTTTACCATTGTACATATCAAGTACACCAGAGAAATTTATTTTATTCATTACACCGTATGTATTGCACGCATTCATATATATATACGGGAACTCTGTCTTCCCTTTCTTGAATAGTGAGACTATCTCCTAACTATGAGGTCCTAACCAAGCTGGAATTTCAATATAGGTTAAATAAGAACTAGTTCGTGGTCATAATAAACATTATGCTTATCTTATAAGATATCCCCTGATGTAGTCTTACACGGTCTTGTTTTTACAAGGTGCTCTTAAAAACCAGAGAATATAGTCATAATAAAGAAGCAGACAGACACTGCTAATTGTATAAATTTGTCATTGTCATACTCCAAGGCAAACAAGTCAATCATACATTTTTTCAAGAGCCTCGTGTTTCACAGACTTGTTGGTTTCTGTTTTACGTGATGGCAATTGTGTACACGAGAAGAATTTCTAAAGAATATAGTCAATAAAAAAGCATTGTTTACTAATCTTGCTATGAGTGGAATAATGAGAAATTAAACCCTAATCACACTAAATGAGAGAAATAAATGTATAAGTTATCTCGGCTTTGCATCGTATTATTGACACTTTGTGGCCAACCTAAGACAGACACTTCACTCTCTAAGCTCAATAAAACTCATTTATTTGTTGAAACTTTAATCAATATATCAGAATTTGTCCATTTAAAGCCAGAAATGTTCATTTATACTAGATACAGACACCTATAATATTGGGATTAGAGCAGGCAGGGCAATCACATGTACAAGATGGTGTGGAGTATGTAATTCACACACTAGTTGTATGCTGCTCATTGCTGAATTGGATTACTGCAAAACAAGAAAATTATTTGCAGTCAAGGCCAAAATATAAACTTCACATAAACATAGTAAGGACACTTTCTGACAGTTGCATGAAAAGTTAATATAAAGGGACAAGAGGCAATGGTCTATTGTTTTAAAAATTTACAGGAAGGATTTAAGGTAGGAGATTCTCGATGATGGGTAATGGTCTATTGTTTTAAAAATTTACAGGAAGGATTTAAGGTAGGAGATTCTCGATGATAGGCAATGGTCTATTGTTTTAATAATTTACAGGAAGGATTTAAGGTAGGAGATTCTCGATGATGGGCAATGGTCTATTGTTTTAATAATTTACAGGAAGGATTTAAGGTAGGAGATTCTCGATGATGGGCAATGGTCTATTGTTTTAAAATTTACAGGAAGGATTTAAGGTAGGAGATTCTCGATGATGGGCAATGGTCTATTGTTTTGTAAAATTTACAGGAAGGATTTAAGGTAGGAGATTCTCAATGATGGGGCTGTATTCTATATATTGGGGGCACACATACTTTAGTATTTCGGAATATACCAAACTTATTAGTAAGCATTATTCGTTGGGCGTGGGGGCAACAAGGAAGGCTGCTAAGGGGAATTTTTGGTCATGGTTAGCTTCAGCTCTGACGTTAAAATGTAAATTTGAGTTATAGAAGGGTATAGTTTATGGTATAAACCTTCCACCAATGATCTTAATTTACAAACTTTAAAGTGGTGATATTTGTAGAGTGGTTGCATTTATTATTTCCTATTATTATTACTGTGAGAAAAGGGTTATATCAGCGTAAAAATATTTTCAACAATAAAACTTCACTTAATATAGTATCTGCACCATCTCATAACATCAATACAGGAAAGAAAAATCAACTCCACAGGCAGAGGCGATGGTAAGAAAGGGTTTACTATTTTAAAAAATTCGGTGCACTTTTTATAGTCTCTGGTTGCAGCTGATTGTTTGTTTGTAATTAAGCACAAAGCTACACAATGGACTATCTGTGCTCTGCCCACCACGGGTATCGAAACCCGGATTCTAGCGTCGTAAGTTCG